ATGAGATCCATGAAGGTTCAAGTGGGAGCTTTTGCTTTATCAGTTTTCTTAGTATTAAGGGGCCATACTATGTCATGTTTTATTTATGCATTAGTAGATTATGCATGTTAGATTTTATATATGTTGTTTGATGATGCGCTAGAGTTCACTAAATAATCACAACATAATGAATCTAGGTCCCAGAAATATTGAGGTAGATTTTCCAATCAAAAACCCGATGAAACCTTCGATATTAATGATGGGTCATGCCAAAGCAGGGTGTCATATTATATCTTAGGGGAGTGGGGGTAAAACAAATTTTACACTTTTGATTGGTTAAACTCAACAAGGTTACCTAAAGAGTTTAGAACCTTGAAGCTAAGAGTAATAATTAAACATGTGATGGATAATTATTCAACCAAGAATTACAAAGAGTTGTAATCAGTACAGAGTTTACTCACCTTGAAAATGTAATAGTTGATGGTAGGGCCAAAGTCCGGTCAATTATTGCACAAATAAAGGATCTTGGAATCATTCTATTCAATAGGGATCAATTAAATTGAATGAATGTTTTAAAGTTACCAGTTTTATAATCGCTTATGGTACTTTAAATTTTTATTAAACATAATTGAATTTTGCATTTACTTTTAAGTAACATGTCGTTCTAATTTTATTATTATATATAATCTCCTTGATTGAAAATAAAGTTGAGAAACGTTCTCAAAAGGTTAAAAGATAATCCATAAACCTATACTCCAACTTTGCTAAGATGGTTCTAAAAGGCAAGTTTTAGAAATCCATGTCACATGTCTAAGGTTGATTTTATTCAAAATGTTTGAGTAAAATGCCAACACATCTTCATTTTGAAAAGTGTTTCAAGGGATACAATGAGATGGGAGGTACAAACTCTCTAAAAGACAAGTATAGAAGTCCAATAAAATATCTTATCTTCAATATGATTGAATATAAGAAAGTGACTGGAAAACTCTATGATCAAAAGTTGATCAAATGACGCTATTCTTCATCCACTTTATATAAGAGTTAAATAGTTGATTAAACTCTAATATGAATGATGATTGAATAGACTTAGTAAAATCATGAAATGTGCTTAAAGTAGTTAAGCAAAACATCATTTTGAACCTAAGAGAAGTTTTATAAGTGGCTCAAATGGGAAAGGTTTATGAATATACGAGGATTGCATTAAGAAGTTATAGGACAAGAAATGCAAACAAGTTGCTACTTCTCAAACCTAGAACTACTCACATGCTAAAAGTTGTTATGAACAACAAATGTTTCAAATTAAATGGACCAATTCCAATTGATTAGAAACTACCTCATATAGTTGGAAGGTAAAAGAATGGAAATGTTCCAAATTTAAGAAGTGTATTATAGAAATTGATTTAGCATATTGCTACTTCTAGGACATATGATGTCTTGTTTAGATCACTCATTGCACAATGTGGTTGAACTAAAGGAAGAAGTTATGGCTAAAAAAGAAATAAATCTACAAGTTTAGAAGCAAATGTTGCTACTTCACAAGTAGAATCTACAAGTCTGGAAGCAAAAGTTGCAACTTTACAAGTAGAACCTATATTTCACCTTACCTTGTTATTGGCTAGAATTAAATAAATGTTATTCATTCTTGCCATCATCAAAACACCATTCAATGTTAGTACTGACTAAGCATCGAAGATTAAAAAACGTGGAATAAATGTTATTCTATGCTTCATTGAGTCATAATGTGTTTTGAGTTGCTAAATAGGTTCAAAGTTCTATATGATAGAAATAATTGAACCATTTCTATAAATGAATTATCTCTAAAATGTCAAATAATTCAAACAAAAATGAACATTGCATGCGAAAGATCCAAAGGGATGGACTTTCAATATCATTAGATTATTAATCCATTGATATATGTAATTATTATTCTAATTTGAAATTTTGACAAAATCACCATTTAGAGAAATGATGATGTGAACTCAAGGTCGAATACATATTGATGTAAGAAAACCAAAGGTTCAAAGACTAGAGACGCACAATAAAACTTCATTTGTGATATGATCACTATTTATGCTTAGTTGAAGCATGGAAGTGGAAATTTTGAAAGTTCAAAATGTTCAGTATGAAGTTCAGTATCAACTTGACAAGATAATGATTACATTACAATATGATTGTAATTGTGAAAATTTAAGTCAAGACATATACTTGGCAATACATTCAAAGTACTGCGATATGATCGTAATAATGAGAATTTAAGCCAAGACCTTGATGAACATCCAAGAGTTGTGAGATCGTTTTACGACAAACTCCTAAAGAAAACCATGATCAATGAGTTCGTGATCGTAATAAATTATGCAGTAGTTCATACATCAATGATCAATGTGAAGGAGTTATGTCTTCGATAAGTGCAATTACTAGATTTATCAAGGATCACTATTATGGAGATAATAAGTTCATTCTATAGGGTCGTCAATGTTTGGTGCTAGATATGACAATTGATATTTGGGCTAGCTTAATGGCCCAAAGACTTATAGAATGGATCCTACAAGGTCACACATAAGAGTATTGGGTTAAACAAGTTAGAGACCCATTATTGGGCCTCATGAGTTCATGACATACCATATTGATAATTGGGTTTGGATAGTTAGAAGAGTCTAATGGGTTTTGGACTTGACATGGTTTTATTTCTAGATATGATCTATAAATATAAACCATGCCTAGGGTTTCATGACAGAACAATTGACATACAATGAATTGTCACACAAGCAACCAATTTTCCAAGACCCTAACTCTCTCTCTCTACTCGGCCCTCTCTCTCTCCTCCCTGTCCGTACGGCCCTCCTCCCCGGGTGGCGCGTGTGGTGGCGCGTGGGTGGTGTTGTGGTGTGTTCGTTGCTCAAATCTCCGTTGAAGGTTGATTGAAGTGTTCAGTCACAACTAACTAGCATTAGTGGAGGTTTAATCCATGCTCGTGGACTAAGTAGAGGAATCACGCGTGGGGTTCTTTATCTCCCATTGTCCGTGCTCGATTGCACGTGGAATCACGCTTCAAAGGTACGATTATATGTTCTTTATGTGTTATGCATTAGATCTTGGGATTAGGTACTATATGAATATGATTCATGTTTTTCCGCTACGTAGTACCTATATTTCCCTACACAATGGCCTCTCATAATGTTGGTAGTAGCACGGGTAGTGGGTCGGTTAACACAACATGTAGAGAAACTCAAAGTGATAATTCTGAGAAATTGTACCCAAGATTTGGTTTACATCCACAATAACCTTCTTCTTGCTTCAAAAATTCCAATGAGTATGGAGATTATAACACAAAGATGTGGGATGTTGGTGGAGATGCATTTGATTCTATGGAGGATGTGGGGTTTTTAGAGTTTGCGAAACTCTCCCTTGATGAACCCGAGTTGGAAAATGAGTTGATTATTGAAGAATGATTTTCTTTGTTTTTTTTACATGCTTTTACCAAAAACTTTAATCTTGAATTTGTAGTAATGAATTATGTATGGATTTAATTTTCTATATTTTTAGGTTTTTTTTTTTGCCGTATCCATGCCGTACCCGTTTTTTACATTTTTAATTTGGTCGTTTTCCGTCCCCTTACCCGTACCCATTTTTTGTCCCTGTCACCATTTTAGTGCCTCTTAGGTGAAAGCAATGGTGTCCTAGGTTACATTGCTAGAACATTTACTTACGATATGAATTGGAAAACATGTTATTTGCTTAAATAGGAAAATTTGCAAATTGCAATCATTTAAAGTTCGCATTTTGTAAATTGCAGCCATTTAAAAAAAAAATTGCAAATTGCAGCCCGATTTAATTTTTTCATTGGTTTACAAGTTGAAAAATCTTCGATTAAGGTTTTAGGGGCCATTTTAGTTCTTAGGGGGCCGAATTGAGCTCGAAATTAGCAAAAAAATAACGCAAGTATCTCGTTTTGCATAACAAAAGTGTATCGATTTGTGGGAAAATGTAAATATGAGACACTTACGTTATTTTTTTGCTAATTTCGAGCTCAATTCGGGTCCCTAAGGACTAAAATGACCCCTATGACCTTAACCGAACATTTTTCAACATGTAAACCGATGAAAAAATTTAATCGGGCTGCAATTTACAATTTATACGAACTTTTGGGCTGCAATTTGCAAAAAAAAATTTAAATGGTTGCAATTTGCAAATTTTCCGCTTAAATATGTTAATCTTTTGTCAAATTATTGGGGTCCCATATATGTATTATGAACAAGAATGAAATATGTTGCTTGTACAAGAATTAGACCTGTTTGAGTCTATCAATCTTCACAATACTGACCAAATGTTCTAATGTTAGAGGTCTTCTGTTGCTGTTCTCTGATTATATCTCGGGATTGATGCATATGTGTTCTGTGATTTCTCCTAACGATTCATATCTAGTCATAGCCAGATTAATTACGGACTAAGGCTTTTGTTGCAGTTGTATCCATTTCAGATCGCATATTGCTAATGAATACTGCATACCTTGGATACTTCCAAGTTTAGGATGAGCTGACACTATTCTGTCTACTTCTATCTAACTAACTAGGCCGCCATTTCCAGGGGGCGTATCTGAGTGACACGTGTCGTCCATTTGGACGTCTCTCGGAAGGACACATGTTGCTCTCTTACTGGTCCACTTGGGGGTATTAAATACCCCAAATCAAGGGGCACAAGGGCATTACAATGATTAAAACAGAATTTCTAGTGTGCTAATTCACTCTCCAATCCCACCAATTCAATATTGCATTATAAATTTCCCTCCAAAAGTACTATTAGAGTTTGGTTGGTTATTAATGTTAATATTGTATATTTGGAAAGTTTATTTTGTTTAGGAGTTTTAGTCAAGTTAGGTATTCTATTGTATTGTGTAATTTTTTTTTGTTTATTTTTTTTATTTTTTTTATGGAGAAGTTAGTGCTTTATCATTCATCATTTAAAAGTAATTTGTCCGACAACACATACGGGGAAACCTCACAAGGACAGTGGTTTTCCCAGACTTATTCTACACCAAAGGGCACTAACTTTGCGAGGTGATGAGCAACAAAATTTGCCTCGCGTTTAACATTGGACCAACTAATAAAATCAAAATGAGAACTAGTAAAAAGAATATCATCTACAATTTTATCCAAATTAGAAAAGAAAGTAGAAGCAGCCTCAAGTCTTGAAATTATTCCTTGAAAATCTGATTCGATGATGATTTGCTTCAAGCCATAGCGCCTTCCCAATTTCACAGCAAAACTAATTGCCATGCCCTCTGCAACATCTGGTGGCCAGCGGCCTCGCAGCCTCTTGCATCCAGCAAATAGAACATCACCCTTCTCGTTTCTTGCAACCACACCTAGCCTTATCCAACCTTCAACCTGTAGTGAAGCATCACAGTTCAGCTTTATTACTTCACCATTCGGAGCCTTCCAAATCTTCGTGCTACTGCTGCGTTTACTGGTCTGTGCACCATATATTTTAGTGGCGTATTTGTTGTGATCAGTTACCAAGCGCTGGACTCTGTCAAGGAGAATCAAGTGAGGAGTTTCTTTCCCATTAAAAATTATATCATTGCGTCGACACCAAATCTGCCACATCAAAGCAACTCCTACCTGCCATTTCTCTTTCTCAAGCTTGCTCCACGAGACAATTAAGTCTGGGAGGCACATATCATCTGCACCCAGTCACAGCTTTTCACAATCACCTTCACGCCAAAGGTCCCTCACTGAATGGCAATCAAAGAGGGCGTGACGGAGTGTCTCTTGACAATCACACCACGGGCAGCAATCTACCTCAATCATATGTCTTCTCTTAAGCAAAGCACGAACAGGAAGAGACTCGGTACACAAACGCCATAAAAAATGCTTCACTTTTGGTGTAGTGTCAAATTTCCAGAATTCAACCCAAGCTTGATGAAAGTTGTCAAGATTGCACGATTTACCAAGTTAAGATGCGGTTTTGACAGAATAAATCCAGTCCTTCGAAAAGGCCCATGTCAAGCAATCTTCCACTAACCGAGAGCTAAGAGGGATAGCCATTATGCAATTAGTATCCCTCTCACTAAATTTTGAGGATACTAACTCATAGTCCCATTCCTTGCTTTGAGCATTAATTAAATCACTGACCTTTGATATAGAAGCATCTCTTTCACTCTCAAAAAAACGCCCCCTATCATCCGCAATCCAAGGATCACTCCACACATCAATGTTGGCGCCATTACCGACCCTCCAAATCAGACCTTCTTTGAGCAAAGCTTTTTGTTAGTTGAGACGATTAATACAAGAGGGGGGTGAATTGTATAGAGTTCCTAATGACTACTTTTTGCGGATAAATAAACAATGCGTATAGGAACTTAATAAAACACACAGATTTTACGAGGAAACCTTCCAGGGCCCAACTGGAAGTAAAACCTCGACCCTACCTTAGGGATTTCAAACACAAATCACTTCACTATAATAGGGCAAACACCAAGTTACAACCTATTAGACACAGACATTTATTTCACAAGTTCCTCACTGGACTTGCTACTTGATAGGACCCTATCCTACCCAATTTAAGCACCACACTTAGATTCACTCGTACCACCAAAGTACTACACGTACTGCCAAAGTACTAAATATCTGTACCACCCTAGTACAAAACTCACAGCCTCACCTAGAAGCTAACACAAAACTGTATGTAACACAAACTATAAATTCACCCAAATAACCCAACCAATACAAATATAAGACGCCTATTATGATAGGTAAGCAATGCACGAAATCCGAAACTAATATGATAAGTTAAAAGCTTGGTAAATTTACTCAATTAAAGCACTGTGATTTCTCCACGCATAAACTCACAAAAACCTAAATCATTTTGCTCTCTACTATTTATACAAGTAATACTCGTATAGAAAGTAGGTTTTCTGAAAAGATAAATATGTTAACTTAACTTATCTTTTAAACACGGTTTTAGCAAATCAAGTGGAATAAAATCTTTTCCGAAAATAAGTTTAAAAGATATTTATTAAGAAGACTTATCTTTTTCATAAATTGACTAAAGAGAATAATCTTTTTAGAAAATCTTTTCCTAAAATCTATCTTTTATTATTTTCCATATTTATTTTTTTTTACCAAGCAAACTTATCACGTTTCTAATAAATTTCGTGCACTAACCTACTTACCATATTAACAATAATTTCTAAGATTAAACCTTAACTACTATTGCTGCGCCGTACTTTGATCAGGTAAATTACTTGGGCTCCAAGCATGTCAAGTTCCACCAAAGAACTTTACTGCTAGTCTTCAAGTTCCTGTTAGGGAACTTAGTTCTTGTTAGAGAACTCTTCCTCTGATTTGTTAAACTTCTTCAATAAAGATCTTCTTCATATCTTCTTAGATTCAGATGGTTCTTCAATCACCAAGATTAATCTGCACCTTGACTAATCACACACTAGAGAATATTTATTAGTTGAGTTTTCTTTAGTTCAAGTTCCTCATCATCAAAACCATTATGTTTCAACAATTTCCCCCTTTTTGATGATGATAAAATTAAGAAAACTCTTAAACAAGTTAAATAAAATAAAACGTCGTATTGTTTATTTTTGATTTTATTGACAAAAAGTAAACACTCAGAAAGCCAAACGAAAAAAAAACAATAAAGGCAAAAGATAATCAGAACAAAAATAAACTATAAACTAAACAACTATAGCATCATATCAGAGAAATTTCTGATACTTTCTTAACTAGAACCCAGAACAACTTTAGCCTCCAAGTTTGCTTCTTCTTTTCCCTCTTTTGGCATTCTCAAAAAATCATTTTTTCAAGTTATAAAGCATCTAGCCACAGCCCCACAAGCAATTCATCGAGTGTGGGAAACTGAAGACAGCGCTGCTAAACTACCTCAAGCAAGTTCTACCTTTCTACATAAGTGTTCAATACATACATAAACACACAAGTATAAGCCAAGTTCCAATTAGTCATTAAAAACCCAAAATATATATCATCCAGTTGAATAATTTAAGAAAATTTACTACTAAAATCAATTGTTCAAACAATAAAACAGAAATTAAACTTGTTCATGACTGAAGTAGAGAAAATAGGCTAGGCTGAAAAGGGAATAAGATAAGCTAGGTTTCAAGAAACTCCAGAATTTTCTTGTAGTCCTCCTTTGTCTGTTGTGCAGAAGCTTCCAGATTCTCTTCAAGACTCTTGATTTTCACCAGGAACTCCTCCTTTTGTTCTTGTAGAGCCCTGTTCAGTTCTTCCTGAAACTTCTTTTGCTCTTGAAGTTCCTTGTCCTGTTTTATCACAAGCTTCTTGAGTTCCTTTAACTCCTTCCCCTGCTCCTGCACCAGCTTTTCCAGGGTCAGCATCTGAAGTTTTCCAGCATAATCCTGCACCTGATTCTCAACCTTTTCCATCCTGTCCACCAATTGAGCAACTTGCTCATTAAGGATTCTTTCCTCAACATCCAACTCCAGTGGTTGTTCCATGCTTGTTTGATGAACAGCACTGGCAGAAATCCTCCTGCTTTTCTCACAGGCTGCTCAGACACAGCCTTTTCCTTCCTCTTCCCAGTCACTTTCTCTTTCTTTTTCTCTCCCTTCTCTATTTTTTGAATTTTTCCTTTCACTACCTCCAAACTCAACCCAGCTAAAGTTTCCTCATTGATCACATTTTCTGGCTTTTCATCCAAAGCCCCATATTTACCCTTCAGAACCACTCCAGCATTTTCAAACACAATAGACAAAATGGCTCCATACCCCACTTTTGTCCTACTAGGAATATAGTGTGCAAAATGCTGATACATCAAAGCAGGAAAGTTGACTTTAATTTTCTTAGACAAACAGAAAATTACAGCCATATCCATCAGACATGCTTCCCCTTTCTTAGCAGTTCTAGGCAAAATAGTTTTCTTCACAAGATTAAATAGCAATTTGCTCAAGGGATTCAGAACATTATGACTCATGACCTTCTTCCCCCTTTGACCACCTAGGGCTTGAACAATATCACCTGTCAAGTAGTTTCCTACTTTGACACTGGCCTTCCCTTTGATATATGACTCATAACCCTCAGTAGGCGTTTTCAGAATTTTACCTAGGGTTTCAATATTTAATTCAATTTTGACTCCATCAACTACACTCGAAATTACTCCTAGTTTTGCTTGAAAGTTTTGATAGAACTCAATCATAGCAACAGGGTACAGATAATTTGCTGAAACTCTTGACAACAAGAATTCCCAGCCTTGGAACTTAATTAAATCAAGAAATTCTAAAAATCTTGCTTTCCTACACCAAACTAAATAAATGCGATGTCCTACAACATACCTCCCTGCCTGTGACTCAAGTTCTGCTAAATCAGTTACCTCCTCTTCTTCATCTTCCTTTTCAGATTCTTCCTTTTTCTGAATTGTTCTCATCTTCTTTATCTTTTTCTCCCTCATTCATCTATTCTTCTTCTTCGTCCTCCTCTTTTGTCTCTTCTGAGTTTTTCCCTTGAGCAAACTCGTCAACTTCTTCGATTTTCTCTTCAAGAGATTTCTCCCTTTGTTTATTCTCTTTCCACTCTTTTAACAGTTGAAGAACACTTGAGACAGAAGATTCTCCTTGATCACTCTTACTGTCTACTTCTTTAGGTTTTGGAGAAGAGTTTTTAGGGTTTTCAGGAGTTTTGTTTGAGGTAGAAGACGATTTGTAGTTCACCATGGCTAAAGGAGATGTTTCTTCTTGAATGGTGTTTTCGGAGTGTTGAGAATTTTCTGATGAGACAATTTCAGCAATGATGACCATTGTTGTTCTGGAGAAGGTTTTAAAGTTCAAGAGGGTTTTTTTACTGAGAAGGAGTTAATTGATTTGACAGTGAGGTGAAAGAGGTGGGTGAAATCAACCTTTAATAATAAATGAAGCGGTGTGAGGTATTTTAAGGGATTTCACTATTCAGTCATTAATTGAACAAGTTCAATTAAATTTACAAAATTCACTGGATGGATTTTACTAAAAACTTTTCTTTTCAAATTCATTTAATTTAAAAGAAACATTCTATAAATACACAATTGGAACACGCCTTTTACATATGTGCAATGTACATATTTAATAACTAACACAGTTAGGCAATTTAAGGAACTTACCTTTGGTAGTTAACAACTGTGACACTTCAGCTATGCTTATCACACCAAAATTGTGTAAAATGCTCTTTTCGCTCTATTTCCATTATTTTTGACTTTGCCATATCTAGGAACTTCAGAAGCAATCAATTCAGCTTGATCATTCCAAGTTCCAGTCTCAATTTCTCAAATTTCTCTCTATTCAAGGGTTTGGTCCAAATATCTGCAAGTTGATATTCCGTATTACAAAATTCCAATTTAATATTCCCTTACTCCACATTATCTTTTAGAAAGTGATGCCTAATGTGGATGTGTTTTACCTCAGAGTGTTGAACTGGATCTTTAGAAATACATATAGCACTTGTGTTGTCACAGTAGATAGGTACACATTCAAAAATAAGACCAAAATCTCTAAACTGTTGTTTTATCCAAAGTACTTGTGAATAACATGCTGCTGCTGCCACATATTCAACTTCAGCTGTAGATAAAGCAACTGTGTTTTGCTTCTTGGAACCCCAAGAAACTAAACAAGGTCCTAAGAACTGTACCATACCGGAAGTGCTTTTTCTATTCACCAAATCAC